CAAAAGTATCATTTTACAGGTTACGAATAATTGCCGATTTTCATTATGATGAAATGATGGACATTGATTTAGGAAGTTCGTGTTTCAAAAATATTTTTGTTTATTTTTGCGTTGCGTATAGTGCAACAACGCTCTGAAACGATGAGAACCAGGAACCCAAATTTTTGAAAACGCCCTCGGCAGAGTACCAAATACCAAACTTGAAATCAGCTATTATTTTTTTCGGCTCTAACCTTTGAACTTGAGTCCAAATTTAAGCGAGCTCCAACTCCAGAGTTGAAAAAATTACAAGTTTAAGATTCAGGGAACAAAACTTGTGGTCGCGCGCAGAAGTGAATTTGGGAAGCAAACTCGCAGAGCACCTTAATTTATGAACTCAAGCTCTTTTTTTTTCTGGCTCGGGATAATGTTTTTCTTTTAAATCTATCAATATGCTACCAAGTTTTTGCGACCGACTGAAATATTTTAGGGGACCCTTTGCCAATCCTGTCGAATGGATTCCAGAACGGCTTTCGATATTACATCCATGGTGTTGACGAAGTTTCATACTTGTCGCACGAAGGTATAAGCGTATCACCAGGCTATAGTGTCGATTCTGCTTTGGGTCCAAACAAGGTTGGCGGCGCCATACTTTTTGTAATCAAATGACAAAAACTGTCAGATTTGACTTTAAGTGAAATTTGAATTAGTAGAAATTCAGGCCTTAGAGCCTGCGTGGAAAGCTGAAACAAAGCTTGCGCTTCAAACGGTAAATCGCACTCAAGTTAGCTTGACTGTGAGCAAAATGAGCTGATCTAGCGTTAAAAATTTGGAAATTAAAAAAATAAGTAAAAATTTTCAAAATATTAGGTTCTTAGCCTCTACCAAAGCAAGTGAAGCATTTACCGCTAGCACAATTCAGGCCAAAAAGTTAGAGCTTTCTCTTAAATCACTGTTTATGAAAGACGAAAACAACTCGGAAATATTCCGATTAGAAACATATGCCGATAAGAACCACTCAGTGGCAGAACTGTGAATAACTGCTTCTTCCGATAGCTAGGTCTAGTGTTCCTGCGACTAGTGGTCAATAACAGGGGCACTTCTTATTTAAGTCATTAACAATTTCAACGCTTGAAAATAGGATTTGGCTACATAGTTCATTACTTTCCGGTGTTGTTTAGCCTCTGTTAACTAAAATGCACTCTTTTTTTAATGATTCTACCCTTAACAACTTTCAACCGCCAAAGGAACGGTTGGGATTTTCTACCCATAGATACGATTTAATGGCTACGTGGTATAGATCTTTTTTCGGCTAGTTAGATTTCGTACATTTAGAGGGGAGAGGCGGGAGGGAAGGCGATGGGTGAAAAGGAGGAGGAAGTTTGCTGCTGGTTCTTGCCACCAGAGATAGATGGGCATTAATGCACTGAAACACCGATGGGGAAATCTAACCGACTTTAACGGTGTTGTAGACAACTACGGGACCAGAAAATTCCCTGGACAGCTGTAATGAGAGTTAGAAAATTGTGTGTATCACGCGTACTCAGTAGGAAACTTGCATCCACTTTCAGTATTTATTGTTGGATTCAACAGAATGGGGCAACTGTACGGGCTCGTGGCCAAAAGGCTATTCCAGCCATCGGCTTTATTCGTCAGCAAAATGTAAAGCAATGTGCAAGGCACGACATTTCAATGATCACTGCGGCTGCAGCCCATATTTCTACGACATTGATAATGGTGATGGGTTTCGATTTTTC